TCGTCGAGCATGACATAATCATCCTATATATCTATAATTTTTTAATAGTCTAGAAGGATTATATGAATAATATTTATTGATATTATTTCTTAATTATTGACAATTCACGGACCCTGCAGACTTAACTGCTCGAACATAAGACGTTAAAAAAAACAATACTCTTTTTAGACACTAAAATTAAATTAAATGACATTAATATCACTTAATCACAAAAATAATAAAGTTTATTGACATGTGAAATATATGTACGACTAAATGAATTATGAAAATTTTATAAACATTTAATATCATAAGAGAAAAAAATATTTTTATTCAAATCTCGAAATATATTTTAAATAAAGGACAACTTATTAATGAAAACATAAGCTCTGTTCATATTGTTACGGCACAAAATAAATAAAAACATCTAACATTTTGCACTTCCCTGATATAGGCAATCTTTGCCTATAACTAGGGTTATCGAGTCGAGTAAGTCAAAAAATTTAAGTTATTCGAGTTAACGAATTCTATTTTATACCTCGAAGTTCACTATAAATTTTTTCGAGTCGAGTCTAATTTTTGAGTTTTTGTTTAAATTTAATTATAAATATTTATAATATTATGATATGATTTGATTCTAATTTAAATGGTTTTTTTATGACCATATACAATACATGTGTATTTATTTATATGTTTTTCATATGTGATATACATTTATGATAAAAAATCGAGAGACTCAATTCAAATTTGAAAATCAATCTACTAATTACTAAAAATTTTGAGTTATTCAAGTTAATATTCGAGTTGTATTTTACAACTCAGATTGAACTTGAATTTTATTTTGAATTGAGCCGTACTTATGAAATTAGAACTCGAAATTAATTCGAGTCGAGTTAAGTTAAAAAAAAATCAATTTTTTGAGATGAATTGAGTTTTGCTCACCCCTACCTATAACTAGAAAGCTTTCCAAGCAGCACCAAAAAAAAAATATTAACCAAAAGAGTCGGTATTAATCATTAATACCATCGAAAACAAAAAGATAAACAATCATACGCGAGAAAGATCTTGGGTCAAATATCAAGAAAATAAGTCAAATTCTAGAAGGATTTCCGGGACCGGACTCGTCAGATATCGGACACGTGTCCATGCAACCTGTAATGGCTACTGTCTTTTTCGGAGGAGTGATTATTGATAAAGTAAAATATGCATGGGGGTTAAGATAATGGCCGAGGTTTGACCTGAAAATAGTAAACAAAAAGGTAAAGGGGCACTTGTCGATGTACTGGCGGCCACCTTAAGCGCAGGTGGAGGATGGGACCACCATTGCGATTGCTTTCATTGAAAAACATGGCGTGCCTCTTGTGCTGTTCTGGCGTCATCATCTCTCTTCACGCCCATGATCCCATGCTTCACTTGTCAAACCTTGAGCTTAATGTCTCAATCACCACAGCATTTGGGTGGACACGTGGCTCAACCAATCATTATTATTTTTTTGCTTAAAAATAGGGATGGCAAAAAAAAATTGAATCCGTCTGGGAAAAATCAAAAAACGAATTAAACGGGTCGATTCGGGATGATAAACGAGGACGGGAAAAATTGAATGTTTTAAACGGAAACAGAGACGAGTTTGATAATCCCCGCCCCGATTACCTGAATACCCGGCCTAATATCCGACCCGATAAATATTAAAAATAATTATTATATATATATAATATTAATTAATTTAATTTAAATTATATATAATATTTATATATTTAGTTTAAATATATATATCTGGCCCGATACCCGGCAAGATATCCGTTTAAATAATCGTTTATGCTAAAGGGGCCGGACCGTTTCCCTGCGATTTTCCCCGATTACCCGATGTGGATCCCCATTTAAATTCTAGCGGTTTTTTAGGCGGGGACGAATACGAGTTTTTTTAAAAGGGGACGAGGACGGGGGACCAATGCCCAGCCCGAAACCATCCCATTGCCATCCCTACTTAGAAATCACATCTTAAATATATAGAATTTTTATAATATTTGAAAATTTTAATATAATTCTTCAAATTTTTATGAAAAATCCATAACTCTTCGAATTCACGCCTATGCTGATCAGTTGTTAAGTACGGTAACAGAGATTGGTATCCAGAGTTTTGGAGAGATCCCTTGTCATTGACAGGTAACACTGGAACTCGCCGATTCTCTCTTTTCAATGATCATGTCATAAGTACTACTTTTGCTTGTTGCCTGTGGGGTGTAGGGTTTTATGCAATAAATTAATCAATAACATTTCAGGGTAATCAATGATTAACACTCATTAGTAGTTTTAAAAGGAAAACACTGTACGGGGATTTCGAGTACAAATTCTAAACATGCTGTAGTTAATTTGTCTCGTTTGATTATAAGTTGCGGGTCAAAAATAATTAGTGTTAGTAGTTCGTAGTAATATTTGTCAGTAAATGCAGTGAAAAAGATATGTTTTCTTCGAATGGCATGTCGTCCAAGGTACAGGATCCTTGTACGTACGCGGCGCAAAGCACCAAATGTTCTCCGATTATACGTCTCCCGGCTAATTGAAGTCTTTAATTTCGAAAAAGAGAAAGTGTATTTTTCATTTATCTCTCATAAAACTCGTGCATGGCCTCGCTTCTTTATTTTGTTCAATACGTGTTACAAGCAGACCAACTTCCCTATCTACTTCTACTGGTACGGACAGAAACATAATTCTTCTTTTGACCCGAAAGTTCCCACTGCCCTTGTAATAATGTAAGCTTTACGTCATCTATACGCAAAATAATCATTTATCGTTTTTATGCGTCAAGATTGAAATAGTGTTGTATTTATTATCTGTGGGAATGAGCCGACCAGCGCCTGAGAAAAGGACACCCTCCCATTGTCCGTTTCCATTTTCTCGACCGCCCAAAGAAATTTTCTTCTTTCAAACATTTTGAACCACTGACCGGCAACTCCCTCTAAAGTGGGTTTCTGCCCTAATTTGCCATTGTTTTATTTTTGTTACTTGCTTTTCATGTTTTTCTCTTTGTTGCTTTTTAGATGACAACCAGTGCAAGAAAATGTGAAAAAAATTGGGTCAGAAAACAAATGTGAGATCGTTGAAATTATTATATGTTCGTGGATTTTTTTTAAAAATGGGACTTTTGATTAACTTTTCACGTTATTGGGATGATATTTTAGAATATAGAATAGATAAAGATGATGATTTTTTCTAAAGGAAGGATTTTGTCTGCTTCAATTAGAGAAGCAGACATGCATATGTTGTTTGTTTGAAAGTTGATTTCTAAATAAAAAAATAAATGAAGTGGCTTCCTATGTGTGAACAGCCTCGGCTGCTATGGCTATTAATTATTGACAAGTAGCACATATGCCGTTGAATCGTTATTTGTGTTAGTCACCAAATGAAAACTCTCTCATTCGTGTAGAACTTTGAATGAACGGTGGATTAATATTTATGGTGGTTCATGGGCTTAGACCATTGATGTAGCCCACTGTCAGTATATGTGCAAATAGAAGCCATAGATACATGCAAGTGTGGGTGATGACCGCATGCCGGCTGATTTTGGATAGCAAATTGAATATGGATCGTTGCACGAACCCGGGGAAAGTGTCAAAATAGTTTGTATTGGGATGGATGCATATTTGTAATGTTAGGGAATCAATTTTTAAAATTTCAAGGGAGAATGAATTTATAAAGTTTTAAAAATAAAAAATATTTTATCAATAGAAAATATAAAAAAATAAGATAAATTGAAACTTTCAATTTAAAGTGAACGGGCTTGAATTTTGTTGGAATTGGCAATTGACGGAGATGTTAGTGAATAGATTAATACATAATATTACTCCTTTACAATTAGCGCAGACTGTTAAAATAAGAAAAGTGTGATAAGTTCTGCAAACTACAAGGATTACATGATTTATAGTGGCGTCTCTCGTACTGGTATGAGAAGTGTACTAGTGCAAGAAGAAAAAGAAATGACCTATGTTTCAATGAAAGCTATAGATTTGTGAAGGAAAATTTTTCGGTTTATGGTTGAAAGTTAACAGTTATTGTGCTTACTTGAAGATAGTAACCCAATGGAAGTGTAGTACGTGATGGTTCAACTACATTGACCATAAAAGAAAAGAAAAGTTGAAGGGTGGATTGAATTAGGAAGTTGAATTGAAACAAAGGATGTGGATAGGACTCCTTAAGGGTTATGAGTGAATTATTAATTATGGTTAATAAGACCCTTTTAGTTTTAGGAATTAAGTTTTATTTTGCATAAGCTTTGGTTATGGTAAGCAGGCAAGTCAGGAATTAGAAAGAAAATGAAACTAAGTCGAAGTGTGACTGGTTAGGCTTTCCTTATTATTTTAGTTTAATCAAATTAATTAATTAATTGTAAAAATATAAGATAAGACTACTAAATAATGGTTACTGGAAGCATCCAAAATGATGGATATTATTAATGATCCAAACAAACTTCTCCATTATCCATTTGACTAAGCCCATTAATGCATCCGATTATGCCACCAAATTGTGTGTTCTGCCATTAAAATATATGGTTGATGATGTTGATCTTGCTTGCTTTCATGTAGCCTTTCCATATAAAACAATAACCGTCGACCAACATGAATTCCCCACTTTTCCTTTAGTGGTTTGATTGTAGATTTTGCACACTTGATCCCAAGTCTTTTGTTAATAGTTTGGTAACAGTGGAATCTATATCTGACCCTTGAGACTTGACATAAGCAACAGCCAACACAAGGAAACAGGCGTTGTAATTATGAAATAGATTACAGGATAGTTCAGTCATTTTGAGGAATTCGGTTGCCGGCAGATGACCGACGCATGTCCAAATTACCAACACGTGTCCGCTTGGCACTTTCAATCGTGGACAAGGCAACGTGCAAAGTTCAGCAAAGTTGTCCCTCAACGTGTCAGGTATCGGCAAAACCCAACTGGCCAATTTCACTTGGTTACTTACTGTTACCCCAAAGGTACTTGGACTTTGCAAACCGAGAGGGAAAATTCCCAAACTATATAAATCTGACTACTTCAATCAAAGACAAAACACAAATATCTAGTCTAGTATACACTATGGCGCGGTCCGTTGGGACACTGGTTGTTGGCGGAGTGATCGGAGATGTGCTCGACATGTTCACTCCGGCATCGGAGTTCACTGTCCAGTTCGGCAACAAGCAAGTAACTAATGGCTGTGACATCAAGCCATCTGTAGCTGCTGATAAACCTCATGTCCAAATTCTTGGCCATCCATTCTCTTCCAACTTGTACACTCTCGTATGCATTTCTTTCAAACTTGTGTTTACACATAACTTTGCAGTGATCTAAACAGGCTTCTTACCTTTGGCGATGATTTGTAGGTTATGGTTGACCCGGATGCCCCAAGTCCAAGCGAACCTCGATGGAGAGAGTGGCTTCATTGGTAATTTATAAGCCATTTTATGCTTATACCTGCCACTGCATCTGTAAGAGTGGGAAAGTTTTAGTTTCTTACAACGTAAAATTTGTTAAAAATAATGTTTATGTTGCAGGCTTGTTGTAGATATTCCTGAGGGACATGATGCTACCAAAGGTATAGCTTCGCCATTGATATGTTTCTTACATCTCAATCATTATCAGGGCATAGAGATTCAAATTCATTTGATCTAAATGTTCATCTGATACAGGAAGTGAGTTGGTGGCTTACATGGGACCACAACCTCCTACAGGGATTCACCGCTATATTTTGGCAGTCTTTAAGCAGGAAGAAACCATGGAAGGAAGGATTCAAGTGGCAGATGTGCGTGCCAACTTCAGCACTCGCCGATTTGCTGCTCAAAATAGGCTGGGGCTTCCAGTTGCTGCAGTGTATTTCAATTCACAGAAGGAATCATCAGTGAAGAAACGTTAGCTCTTAACTTACAGTCTATTGGGTAGATCTTGTGATACATTCTTTTAAAGGTTACATAATAGAAGGCTGTTGTCTGTTTGTGTGTATGTATGTATGTATGTATGTAATTTTATTCATTTTGTTTGAATTTGATTGATGTGGGAATAATAAAAAAGTGAATTTTTTGTTTGCTTGTATTTACTTTATACATTTTGTGATGAGATGGGATTTGGGCAATGTCAAAGTGAACCGATTGATCAAGCATTCAACTTAATTGCCAAGTTCCATTATTAACCAGGCTCTGAAGTCTGAATCCATGCTGGAATCGTTTGAATGTGACACTAATCCGTCAATTTTTACAAGTCCGATTGCTATTACAGTATAAATTTTCATGGCTACGAACTGAAAAACCAATCCGTCACCTCAACGAAGGGAAAGGGGTAATGATAAAATATGGGAAACTTATCCTATTTTTTTTTTGAGAAACTCTATAGACCAAAGAGACAAGACTTCGTAGCAGTCGAGGGCCTCTTTATACCTGGTTCCAATCTTGCATGCTGCCTGATTTCAACACCAATTAATGGTATTGGGGTAGTCATCAAATCCTCAGTCTAGTTGTGCAGTTTACACTTGGCATCTGTTTTTTTGACCTGGAAAAACTAGAAAAGATAAGAGCTGTTGGTCTCTGGATTCTAGAAAATGACGGAAGAATTTCTCCCAAGGTTTTACTTCTCCATATAGGGGAGGGGGAAGCTAATCAACAAAGAGAGACATAACCTGGAGCATTTATAATTATCTTGAATCTTGAGTTTTGATATGCATTTGTTCCTGAACTGAAAAAAGCATAATTGAATGCAGCGCTGGTGAATTCATCCCAGAAAGTAACAGAATTCATCAACGCTGCACTCAATGATGTTCGTTCCTTCCGGGAATCTCCATAGGCTTGATTCAGTTCCATTTAAAGGATCCAAGCATATTCAGCCGAGCGATTAGTTTGTCAGTGTGTGTATATATGTTGCAGAACAAGCTCATAAACGAGTAGCAGTACATGCAATTTTGAATTTGACTTGTACTGCCATATTACTTGAAACAGCATGTCCCCTTAATTTACATGTTAGCAGCATTTTTTAATATTTTGATTCCCCATCTTTGCGGTGATCCAAATGAAAGTGGAATGCATTTGAGCAACTCGAGTCTGTAGTACTCATTTCTTGTACCGGAAACCATCAATTTTGTACTACCTTTAAACCTCACATCCAACTATCCAACTCATTATCTTGTATACCATGATTTTCTTTATAATTCCAGGTTCCGGGTAGGGACCATTTGATTGGTAGGTTAAACTCATATCTCAAAAGGTACGACTTAATATATTAACATCTGAATTTGATTATATATTTATATACAGTGAAGTTACATGTGAAAAAAAGGGATGCATATGCTTAGATTAAGCATATTTGGCAAGAAAGAAAAATTGCAGACTGGAAGAGGAATCAACAAATAGTGAAATGTACAATGTATTATAATCGGAATCGGTTTATCGTCTACGAAGAATGATCTATTATACCGTCGCCTGTGGAGTTTATTTTTCAACTGTATTATAATCGGAATCGGTTCATCGTCTACGAAGAATGATGTTCAATTTGAGCAAACTTATCAAAAGCTCTCTTGCCTTCCATATAGATATGAAATCACAGACGCAATTGTTAAGCTTCCGTCGGAGGGGTACCTGTCCAGGACCCTCTAAAATTACAAATATATATAATTAAAAAAGGACAAAATTTTTATTTAGTCACTCATTATTTTTATTTCTATTTTGGTCATATAATTTTTTTTTTCAAAATCATACTTAATGTTACATTTTGTTTCTTTTTTGTTACACTATTAAAAAATTAACATAGATGATGATGTCGTCTTTTAATTTTTTTTTATTTTCCACTTATTATTCTTTTTATTTAAAAATACCGGAGCTTCTCTGGTATGATCAAGTTTATGTGGCTAATATATTTTTGTAGTCGGGCACATTTAAGCTTTCTCCAACGGACAACTATGCAAATTAATGTCTTGGCATCGCCTTCGAGTCCTACATCGGTCCGACCATTTTCCAATATCAACTCCAAGCCTCTTCGTAAATCGTAACGCAGATAGTTCCCCAATAGTGCTTGTGGTTCTCCTTATAGGTTCAGAATATCCAAGTGAAAATTCATCCTTGTGGTTCCCAAAGACGCCTCCAATGCTACCTGTTCCTCCTCTACCTTTACAACATCCATCAAAGTTTAATTTAGTCTATCCAAAAACAAATATCTGATCAGATGTTGAGAGAGAGAATTATTTATTTATTTATTTATTTTGAATGAAAGAAGGGTCATCGACCCTTACGTTGCACGAGTTATACGAAAATAAGGGGGCCCATGAATGTCCCGGTGGAGGAGCGCTTGAAGACGGGGGTAAAAGGAGCCGAAAACTAGGGTAGGACCATCTTTCGGAGTGTCCATCTTCGCAATAAAGTCAGCAGCCGCATTTGTTTCACGATAAATCCTGTGGAACGTGGCATGCCATTGCCGATCATAGACGAGGGCAATTGATCTAATGAGGCTGAGGGGGCTATCTTTAGAAGGAGGAGATAACAAACTCAAGGCATCCGAGCTGTCTGTTTGAACTAGAACACGAGAAAAGCCATTGGTCCAGGCAAGGCGGAGGCCGATGAGAATTGCCCATAACTTAGTGTCAAGCACAGTGGATTTCCCAATATACTGCCTGAAAGCAAATAAACAAGAAACTGTCTAGTTTCGGGAAAGACCTCCTGTTGTACCATTACCGGAGGAAGGAAGAAAAGCACCGTCGGTGTTGAGGCAAACGACACCCGGAAATTATTTAAGTTCAAAATAATACGGTAAAATTTTGGTTTAACTTAATTTTAAACTAATAAGAAGTAAAAATACTATTGGACCAAAAATTTTAGAAGAACAAAAGACGCTCTGATTCTCCATAAACTTGAGTCACGGAGTCCATCCGACTTCCAGGTTTTCCCACGAACAGAATAGGTTATTTCTCCTAATGAGCAACAGCCGAACCGGGTTCTGTATCATTATATGGCAACTGCAAATATTGCTGAAGGCCAACATCAATTTTCTTTTTTCTAATATTTCCTCGGTCCCTGTTGAATGATAAGAGTAAAAATAAAAACTGAAAATATCTTATATGCATAGTGATATCCATTTTCTTTAATTATGTGCCACTGAAGCAATGTAATTAAATTGTGACTTTGGGTGAAGTTTGAAAAGACCTTATATGCATAGTAGGAAAAGGTAATAAAAGTTATCTTCCTCTGTTTTAATCTTGTCCCACCTAAATAATATAATTATTGTGATTTTTGGTAGAATTTATAAAATAAATAATTAATGTATTTAAAATTATAATTTAGAGTAATTTGAATAAATAATTCATGTTATTTATCTTTTATATTATTTTATTTTTAATATTTTAAGATTAAGTAGAGATATATTATATTCTAAGACAAATATCTATATTCGAATTTATATAACTTGGAACAACATGAATATCCTTATTCACTCGACTAATTAATGAATTTTTTTTTATTACAATAGAATTGATGAATTTATAATTGAAAATAATCTTTTATTGGATAATTAATCAATATCTTTAAGTTATGTTTGGGGATAATTAGAAAAATAACTAATGTTATTCACATTTTTTTATCTCCTTTTTACTAAAACATATTCACATCAGGAGCAATTATATTTGGTCAATTAATCAAGTTGCTCATATTTCATTTTTTTAAAAAAAAAACATTTATATTGTTGTTCTAATCGTGATATATATTTTATTTTAATTATATTTAAAAGATTATATATATTTAAATGTTAATATGTGTATACTTTATTTATGCAAAATTTGACATAATTGTATATTTATGATACATTCATAATATTAATATATCTTGTTCAGATATTATTTTTATGTGATACTTTATTCATATTATGTTTATACTCATTTTGTATATTTATTATAATAATTTAATCTTAATAATAAATTGATTTACTTATTAAATATTTTCATAAAAATTAAGTAACTATATTTAAAATTTAAGGTAAAATATAAAAATAATCTATGACTATAGGATGTTGTTTAGTTAATCATTCTGACTATCAAAAGTTACAAAATAATCCTTAAACTATAGAATGTTACTTTTTTTTATTCTATCGACTATTAAAAATTATAAAATAATCATATAATTATTTATTATATTTTAAATTCATCATTTTATATAAAAAATTTTCCTGAATAGTGACATCTGGACCCAGGTACCCCCGACATCTTTCCTCTTTTTCCTATCTCGACATCTTTCAAAAAAAAAAAAAAACATCTGTACTAGCTTCGTCAATTTGTCAAAAGCACCAGTCCGCTGTCTATATTTTAATTTTAATTTTGCTTCTCCTTTCATTTGCTTAGGTTCTGCTTTGAAATTCCATATTTGATCATCCATGATTAGATAGCTATAATAACTAGGTTCTGAATAGCTGGTAAGTAAAGTCATTGATTTTTGAACCGGAAGGTCCTTCCTATCTGCTCCGACCTAAACCCACCCTAATTTAGCTTCCGTTGCCTTAACGTCTCAGAATCTTCGTTTCATCATCGTTGCTGTTTACTAAGTAAACGCAACTGAGGCAGGACAAGGTTGGTCATATAATTGAACATAAAATGTCAAAATTAGAACACCCCCCTTTATAAGTGGGCCACGGTAATTTCATTTTATTAAATTTCAAAACCAATAAATTAATTTCACATTTTTAGAGTCTCAAACTATAATCTCAATTTTCAATTAGTTCTTAAATTTTAAAATATTTTATATCAGGTCTCTAAATTATGATTTCATTTTAAATTAGTTTTTAAAGTCGAAAACATTTTATAAGTTTTTAACTATCAAATATCATTTCATTTTTATTTTTCCATTATGTATTGTTAATTCTATTGATCTTTTAAAACCTTAGAAATTGAACATGTGATCTTCTAGAATTTTTTTTGTGTGAAGATCACGGGTCTAATTCTCAAGACCCTAAAAAATAGATTAGATTTTTTTTTAATTAGTAGAGTTAACAACGTTTTAACGAAATGATCAAAATAAAAATGATATTAATAAATTGATAATTGATATAAAGGGTTTTAAAA